ATAAAATCCAGAGCCAGCAAATAGAACAGAATAGAAAATCCATTTATTGTCCCACAATGGGGAAATTCTTGTGTTTACAGCAGCAAAAACGATTATAGAAAAAAAGAATGCTGCTGAAAAGTAGAGCATTACTCAGAGAAGCAGTGAGTAGCCCCTTGGTAGTCCTGGAGGAGCTGTAGTGATCCAAGCCTAAGGTGGATGGATCTGCTGACACCACATTAGGCCTATGAAGAAGTCTGGCAGGAAGGAACCCTTGATAAGTCCTGTTTGCAGTTTGTCACAAGCCATGTGGGAGACGAAACAAATAGAGGATAGACCAACATGAACCTGTTTGTCATACATCTAAAAGCCTGATCCACCAGCAATACAGAAAGGGAAACTTTTCACTTTCTTTTGGTCAAAGCTGCTGGTGGTGATGGAGAAAACAAACCTACAGCTGCTGGCTGGAAAGACTCTTTTCTCAGCCACACTTTTCAGATGTGTGATTGTGGAAAATGTTGAAAAACAGGCTTAAAAAAGTCTAACTTTCACCAGCTTTTTAAATTTGAGATTGACCTGCAGGCAGCTATGTAGAAGTTCTGTTGACACTTCCTGATGCTTCTAAAACAAAGCCAATAAATTCTAAAGACACTGAAAGTAGCAAATTGATAGTTTGACGTTTTTCTGTCTCAGTTACAGGAGGAGAGGAACCTTCAGCCAGAGGAGGAGAGAGATGCCAAAGTCCTGGGAAAGAACCAAACAAGCCTCTGAGGTAGGAAAACTGTGGAGTCAGTCTTTCAGTTTGTGTAGGAATCCACCCACTCTTCCTCCTCCTCCCCCTCAGCCGTCTCCTCCTCACGAGGCACCTCCTCTTCCTCCTGAGCTCAACCTGTCCAGCTTCCCTCTTCTTTCTACTACAAACGTTGCCACGGTAACCACACCTGAAGCTAACGACAGTCCCAAGGTAACCAACTCTCTCTGTCTGACACAATGCTGACGTGAATGTGTTCAACAGGCTGCCCTATTAAAGCCACTCCTGCCTGAGACAACTTCCATGGGTCCGATCACCTCATCATCATCATCACCACTTCCTCCTCCTTCAGTGTAAGTATCCAAAAGCAGCTGCTGCTCACTGGGGCATTAGAACTGCTTTAGAACCGATTTTTATTGGACGATGTTTAACTTGCAGACTTTTAGCAGCTGTGTTGTTGTCTGCAGGTCTGAGGAGGGCGATTCAAAGATGACCTTCAAGGAGGAACCAGTTCAGCTCCCAGCAGAACCGGCAACGGTAAAAAAAAATACTGTCTGTTCTATTATCTCGATAAACCAGTGGGAGATATATCTGGGTCATCACACTGCAAAAAATTCAAATCTAAATAAATNCCGATTTTTATTGGACGATGTTTAACTTGCAGACTTTTAGCAGCTGTGTTGTTGTCTGCAGGTCTGAGGAGGGCGATTCAAAGATGACCTTCAAGGAGGAACCAGTTCAGCTCCCAGCAGAACCGGCAACGGTAAAAAAAAATACTGTCTGTTCTATTATCTCGATAAACCAGTGGGAGATATATCTGGGTCATCACACTGCAAAAAATTCAAATCTAAATAAATATTTTTTTCTTAAAATATGTCCATTTGTTCTCGAATTGAGGGGGTAAGTGAGACTCTGCCAATAGAACAAGACAATTTGCATTTAAAATAAGAAAAAAACTATTGCATTGTCTAATTTCAACTCCAAATTATCTAATTACCTTATTTTAAGAGTAAAAAACTCATTCCATTGGCAAATCATCTTATTTACGTACTTATTTTAAGGGGAATTACAGTTAAAGTCGTAGGGGAACGGCTGTTTCAACCGTTTCTCACGAATTCTCCCAAGTGGTGTCGACTTTACACGAGTGAATAAAGTGATTTGATTGGTCATTTATCAAGAGGGCGGAATTGTTGTGGTTGAAGGTTCGCAAGCATTTTGGTTGTGGCCGGTTTCTTGGAAGCATCTTGCTAACTAGTTAGCAACTTAGTGCTAGTAGGTTCCCAGTGGGAAATTCCATTGGGACCAAGTAGCACTAAATTGGTGACTTAGCAACGACACTGTCAAGGAACGCTATGGACAGAGTTAACAAGCAAGAGGAGGGGAGTTTGGTGTCGGATGAGTGTCCTTCATCAATAGCTTGATAAACCAGACTAAATGTGAGATTAAATGTGTAATTTAGTCTAGACCCCGATGAATGAGACATCGGCAGATTGTTGATGAGAACAACCCGTTGTCTTTCAAACCATGTGCGTATTGGCCAATGCTCTGACCAAAGACCAACTGACTGTGACGTAGTAAGCGTGACAGAAAGCTGATGGGAGAGTGTAAACAAACAGCCTGTCGGTAAAACGGCGAATATGTCCTTCTTAATAACGAATGAGCGTAGAGCCTCTTCTTGCTCACATTTTAACGAAAACCCCAAGTCTAATCCTTCCAAAACTGATTCCAAAGCTGAGTCAAATGAGAACTGTTCAATAGTTGTTGCCATCTTCCTTGTTGTATTTTCTCCAGCGTCGTACAGCTTTGTCGTCACACCCTCAAAACACTGCCCGCTTTGCATCCAGAAATTCAAAGCATATCTCTGCGTTGTGATTGGCCCGCCTGCTCTAGAGCCTGGGGCATTGATGGAGGCTACACCACTCGCAGACAAAAAATTATTTTGGCTGCTGGGGGGTGAGGCTAATTTACTTGGTTACTTCATCATAAATTTGTTATTAAGAAGAGGAAAGCAGGGACAGAGTTGTTGTGGAAGAGGACACCAGGGCGGGACAAGCTTGGTTTGGTGTAGAAGGCTTCCAGCCGTACATGTTTGAGCCCTTGATCCCCGCCCTTTATCAAGAGGGTGGGGGTGTTGTGGTGAAAGGTTTGCAAGCAAGTTTGGTTGTGGCCTGTTTGGGGGAAGCATCTTGCTAACCAGTTAGCAACTTAGTGCTAGCAGGTTCCCAATGGGAAATTCCATTGGGACCAAGTAGCACTAAATTTGTGACTTAGAAACGACACTGTCAAGGAACGCTATGGACAGAGGAAACATGCAAGAGGAGGAGAGTTTAGTGTCGGAGGTCGTGGATGAGTCTCCTCCGTCATACAGTTTATATTTAGGTGAGGAAAGCGGGCCGAATATGTTGT